TTTTAAAAAACCAAATAGGAGCCTAAGACGGTAAAGAAGTAACTCAAGGCCAGGTGTGGTAGAGCACACCTTTATTCTCAGCATTCACTAGGCAAAGTTCCACGACAGCCAGAGCCTTTTGAGAGCCTGTCTCAAAAAGCCAAGAAGAATGAATTTAAGGAGGAAAGTCAAATCAGATGGGAGGGGACGATTAAGTATATAAATTATTCTTTTTCAGGCGCTTTGCCTTCACATAAGACTGTGTATCGTGTGTGCAGTGACTACAAAGGCCAGAAGAGGGTATTGGATCCCTGGTTGTGCAGTTAAAATAGCTGTAAGCCACTATGTGGATGCTGGGAATCAAACCTGGGTCCTTTGAAAGAGCAACCAGTGATTGTTCTTAATAGCTGAGCCTTCATCTCTCCTGGCAGTAAAAAGAAGAAGAAGAAAAAAAGCTGTATTTTCTTAAAGCCTTTTATCGATCCCTTGTGAATTTCACATCATGCACCCAATCACACTCAACTCTCCATCCCTCCACATGTGCCCTCCACCTTTACAACTCTCCTCCAAGGAAAGAAAACAAAACGTGAAAAGAAAATAACAAAAATCTCACTGTGGAAGCTGCAGTGTGTCTTGGTGTGTCACAAAAGCACCAAAAGCTGCTTTTGCCTAAGCAGCTTTACCTGCAAACGTTTGCTGCAATGACGCAAAGGCCTCTGGCCTGGGCGACACCGTCAATCCTCACTGGAACTCCTCCAGTGTATCCTGTCGTTGCCCTGTGTCATGGAGATCCTGCCCCTTCACACAATCCAGCCGTCCACAGGCAGCACAGGTGTTGGGGTGGACCAACTCAAAGCCCTGGATCTGGGCCTGGGAGGTAGCTGAGTTGGTCAGCCTGCCAGTTCCCCCACACCCATGCCCCCAAGGCCAGCTCTCCCACTTTGCCCAGGAGAGGGACGGGGCCGGCTCTCCTGCCCAAGCTGAGTTTTTAAACACCCATTATATTAAATATTTCATGAGTTTTCCGATATTGCAAAAAGTAACATGAAAGGAAATATACGTGTGGTTTGGAAATACAATCTTGCTTCCTATACATATTTAAAGTAATGTACCTTAAGTATAACCTATCAGATAGACAACTTTCTCACAAAAACTAGCATTTCTCAAAGAACTTTTACTTCGTTAACAAAAAAAAAAAAAATCCTAGAAATCTATTAAAACATACAAACAAAATAAAAATGAATATATATATAACTGCTATTCTCCCAAAGGCTGCATCTAGGACCTTAGCAGTCATGTTTAGACAAGTCAGGGAAAGAAACAATCTGGCTTTCTTCTGTTGCAATGACTTCCTTGCAATGTCCCTGGAACACATAATATCTTCTTTTTTCTATGCCTTTTCCTAAGCAGTTCCTCCTTCTCAAAACTCCTTTCCTTTGATTCATTCTTAACTCCACTTGGTCTTTTTTCTAAGTCCTTCAGTCTTGCTGAATTTGCATTTCATCCATGAACTATACTATCCACGTAGCTATCCCTAATCTTCAGTTATAGAAATCCTACTAGACACATTAAACTAATACAAATTAATCTGTTTGTTTGCTTTTGGACATTTAATCATTTTCATTTCTACTGTCACCTGGTGTTTGCATTAACAAAATCGCATCCTGTCTAAAATGTCATAGTCTTGGGATGGCAGTATTTATGAGGCTGACCCAGCAGATAACAAGTCAAGAACCAAAACACCTGTGCCCAAATCACGGCTCTACCATTTATTAGCAATAGTTACTGAGGGGTGCTAACTAACCTAATCTCCCTAGCCCTCAATTTTCTCATATTCATGAGGGAAAAATAAGCACCTACCACACAGAGTTGAGGATTAAGTTAACATGTAAAGCAATGGTTTTCAGCCCTCCTAATGCGGGGACCCTTTGATATAGTTCCTCATGTTGTGGTGATCCCCAACCATAAAATTATTTCATTGCTACTTCATGACTATAATTTTGCTATTTTTATGAATCATAATGTAAATATGCAGGATATCTGGTGTGAGATCCCAAGGGGTTGCAACCCACAGGCTGAGAACCACATTTAGAAGAGAAGAACATGGGACATAATGGCAAAGTCAAGCTGTATTTTCTTTGCTCCAGGCCCCTACGGTATACAACATTGCATCACTTTTCTTAAATGGTGACTTTGACAGTTTTGTGATCGCTAGCCAAACTCTCTGGAATTCACTAACAAATACGTTCATGTATAATCCCTTCTGCATAATTACCATATGGATAGATTTACTTGCTTAGTGATATTCTGAATCAATTGAAGAATGATCTATTATCTGCTATAAAAACTGAAGAGCTTGGAGCCCACAGAGAAGGAAAGGCAGCTGTCAACAACATCCCCAGGATGAACCAGCTGTAAGGCTAGTGAACACACTGCGGCACAATCACCCACTCTCCATTTAACGTTAACAAGTGTCACCTATGCACCCCTGACAACGACCACTCAAGCCCATCCTTGACTCTACCTTCTTTCACTTGATAAACTCCAAGTTTACTTCAAAAGTAAATTCCCAAATGTGCAATCTGCCTACATTTTGCCAGTTATCCAAAATACACATTTATTTGCTGAATAATCAAAGTTTCAACAACCAGGCATGGTGGCTAATCCTTGTAATCCTAACACTGAGGAGGCAAAGAAAGAGTACACTGCCTTGAGCAGTCTTAGAAACAGATCAGAGAAGACCATGTCTCAAAATTGCAAAACACATGCTTCAAGTGCATATTACTTCTTCCAGCTTTGACTAGGCCTTCCATAACGGCAAATGCAGAAATGCTCACCAACAAAGTCAACCAAAGGGCACATTACTCCAGTTTCCTACCTCCAAGGCAAAATGCCTATTGGGACAAAGTTATCAACTTCACTAACTTCTATTTTTTTAATTATTTCTTTATCTGCCATTGTATTAAACAATTTCTGGGCTTAGGAGGTAGCTCAGTTGGTAGAGTGCTTTCTTAGCTTGTACAAAGGCCTGGGTTCACTCCTCAACACTAATAAACTGGCTGTATTGGCAAAAGCCTGAATTCCCACTTATGGGCATGTACTGAGTTTGAAGAGAGTTCCTGTCTAAAAATGAAAAGAAATGTCTTATTAACTTCCCCAGACTCCACAGCACAACAGAAATTCACAAACCACTGTTTTTGGTTCACTCTTCCCCCTACATCCAAACACCCCCTGCCCCTGCCCAGTACGTTGGTGAAAATAAACTCATTAAGTAGCCCAGGCTAGACTCAAACATGAAGCATTCTTCCTGTCCTGAGAGGTAGGCTTACAGGTGTGCGGACTGCGGCAGGCACTATTTCTCAAAACAAGAACTGCAGTTGGCAAAGCTCTGTACTGTAAGCAAATCTGTCCTCTGATTAAGCTGGACCTGTTTCCCAAGGACATAAAAAGGAACAATGTAGAAGCTGGTTGAATTAAGGCACTAGTAGACAAATAATGTTGAAATTCAATAAAGAATTCTACACCCCTTTACAAAGAATCACAGGTCACCTATGAATGCACCTAAATGTCAGCTTTCAGGAAGAAAAGAAAGGTGTCTGTTACTTGGGTTTTTCACAGGTTAAAGAGTATCTCCTATAATACAAAAAAAAGTTAGCACACTTTCTAGTTCTCATCCTACACACAGACTAGGTTTAGGCATTATGCAAGCACATAACACTTAGGGATCTTTTTCCTTCTTTTAAAAAAAGATACATAGTTTATTCATTACTCCATTACTGCAGTAGCTGCACACACAATACTTTCTTCCTCTAGAGGCTCAAGGTTCTTTAATTTCAAAACACCACTCTTGAAGACAAATTCTTTAAAAAACAAAAAAAGACTTAATCATGTCACTCAGGAAGAGGGGGCAAAAAGTCAGGAGACAAAATTGGAGACAATCCTATTAGTCTTATGTAACTTACTTTGAGTTGGAATTAATTCAGTAGTTTTCAAGTAAAACCTTGGGTTTAGGCCCAAAGATTATTTCTTTAAAATATTCTCCATACATACACATTTTTGAAAAACTGAAAGGATCTTTTTTTTTTTCAATATAAGCAACTAGCAAGGTACAGTGCCAAAATAAACAAGCTAAACTGGATTAAAAGTTAAAAGAAAGGCCAGGCCTGGGGACCTTTAAGCCCAGCACTTGGGAGGCAGAGGCAAGCAAATCTCTAAGTTTGAAGCCAACTTGATCTACAGGATGAGTTCCAGGCTAGCTAGTCCCTGCCTTAAAAATGTAATATAATATATGTGTGTGTGTGTGTGTTATATTATATATAATTGACAATATCGGATATAGTTTAAGAATAAGCTAATATATTAATACTAGTTTTTGCATATCATTGTGTAAGTATACATTACCTACCAAAGAAATTAAAAAGTGACTTTCAAAAGCAATAGATTTCTGTTCATCCAACTTGTAAACAAAACTCTGAAAACGTAATTATTCCAGCTTAATTAAAATGCCTTTAATTTTTACAAATTACTTCATGGGGCAAATATGTATTTTTTTACAAAAAAAAATTAAGCTTACAGTCCAATTATCCTACCAGACAGGCCCTGAATCGAAATCAACTACAAGCTATGTGTTAACTCCATTTCACCACAGTGACACTTGAGCCTCGCTGTAACCGTGGCCACAGATTCCGGCTTTGCTTTGGGAACTGCTGCTTGCTTAATCAAGCACTGGACTGTGGAGTCACCTCTCCAAAAGCAAGAGGTCAAGTTTCACTATCTACTTTTCCTGAACGAATTAGGGTTTGGGATTTCACTGGGAATGACCAAGTAATCAGGAAGCCATCGCCCTACTGAGACATTTAATGACAATACCTTCTCTGTTTTCCATTCAACCACTTCGATTAAATTTCCACTAGAATTCAGATACACAAAAAGCTGATTGCCTGGCCTCGAAGAAACGCGTCCTCTGGGAACAAACCCTGAGATCCTGCATACATTATTGTAAAACACTGTAGTGACATTACCTTGCTCGTCTTGTGATCGAACCAGACCAGAGCATGGTTCCTTGACAGCACTTTGCAGTCAAAGGTGGCATTATTCTGCGCTGGTCGGCAGCGGGCCACCGAGCGGCCGATCTTGATGGGCTCGTCCAGGTAGACATGACGCTCCTGAAACGGGTGCGAGTTCGGGCGGCAAGTGAAGATGGCCAAGGCTGACGGCATCGAGGACAGGCTGGGGGGTTGTCTCTACCGGGGACAATGAGGAGCTCCTCCAGGTTCGGAAGGCTCTTCACAAGCCTATAGCCCTAGCCCCCCAAAATTTTTAAATTAAAACAAACTGCGCATCGTCTAAGCATAACCCGTGAACATCAACAACTCTTCAACTGGGCAGGAAGACAAGTCAGCGCAAGCCCCATCACCTCCTTTAAAATACAGACACTTCTTGACCAAAAAAAGTCCCCAACTGGCAGCTTTCAGTCTATCTTCCCTAGGAAGAAAAGGCTCAACCATTGGGCAGCTTCGGCCAAGAAAACTCCGGGAAGACAGTCCGGGGACGGGAGGTATCCGAGCAGATGAGTCACACACCAGTTCTCGGGTTTTGTTTGCGATCCCGGCCGCTTCTCCCCTTCGGTAGCGGAAACGGTGCGGCACTGCAGCATGAAGAGGGCTGGCTCGGTGCAGTCGGGAAGGTCCTCAGAAGCCTCGGGGCTGACAGGCGGCGAGGGGACCGGCCGAGCGGGCTAGAGGGCCAGCGGCCCGGGGTGCATCGCCCCGCGGCGCCGCCGCCGCCGCCGCCGGGAGTGGCAGGGGTGCCCGGGCGCGACCCAT